CACACACACACGCACACACACACGCACACACACACGCACACACACTTGCTATTGTGAGCCAACCCAGTCTCCATGGTAACCTCAGAGCATGATCCCCTTGGGGGGAGTTATGGTGGGGGTACGAGATACAGAGGCCATCCAGAACGAGAGAAAGAGACAGAGATAGAGAGAGAACAATGTGCTTACTTCAAAAGATGGACAAGATCACAAAACAACAGCAGTATTAACAGGGCAGGTGGCACGATGCCACACCTACACGCACAATCAAGCTCCGCACACAGACCAGGTGTGCTTACTTTCATATGCATTTCATCACACAATTGTACATGTAACTAACAAAAAGGCTTGAACTGGAATATTAGCATTCTATCATACTGCTTACTGCTAAGTACACGCAGAGTATAACTTAATAATAAAAAAAACTTTTTGTTACATTACATGACCTCATTACATGCATATTTAATTCAGCTAGTGGTGTCCAGTTTCCACAAAAATAATTCATGCAATGTAGTGTGCTCTTGTTGTATACTTTACACTTTGGGAAATGTAGTGTATGGCTACTCTATGCAGAAAATTATCATACTTTGCAGAAAGAATGCCATTCCAACCATAGCTGAAACAGCTAAACTAGCATGACTCATAATTCCGGTCTTTTATAAGCTGGATGTGACTCTAGATGTGCGCACATACTCCATGTAGGGGTGGGCGATATGGCAAAAATATATCATGATTTTTTTCAGGAAAATCACAATTCATGATTTTATCACGATTCTTTTATTATTAAAAAATAATAAATACACACATTAAAAATACTGTTTACACTTTGGGAAATGTAGTGTATGGCTACTCTATGCAGAAAATGATCATACTTTGCAGAAAGAATGCCATTCCAACCATAGCTGAAACAGCTAAACTAGCATGACTCATAATTCCGGTCTTTTATAAGCTGGATGTGACTCTAGATGTGCGCACATACAAAAATATATCATGATTTTTTTCAGGAAAATCACAATTCATGATTTTATCACGATTCTTTTATTATTAAAAAATAATAAATACACACATTAAAAATACTGATTATTTACAAACTTTTATTTTTCATGTACAGTAGGTGTATTTAGCAGTTCAAGAAACTGAATGAACAAATATAAAACACTATATACACTTCACTGTATAAATTATATATTGATTCTTATTAAAGCAACTCAAAGTTCTTCAGTTAAGAGCAGTGAATGATGTTTCTCTTTGTGTTTTGTCGTTTTATAAACATTAAAGGGATAATTCACCCTAAAATGAAAATTCTGCCATTTACTCACTCTCAAGTTGTTTTAAACCTGAATGAGTTTCTTTCTTCTGTTGAACACACAAAAAATTATTTTGAAGAATGTGGGTAACCTAACAGTTGCTGGTCCTCAGTGACCCACATTCTTCAAAATATCTTCTTATTTGTTCAGGACAAGAAATAAATTAATACAGGTTTGGGTGTGAGTAAATACTAACAGAATTTTATTTTTTGTGTGAACTATCCCTTTAATGACAAGCGGCAACATGTTTAGTACTAGGAGTCTGCTGTCACCTTAAGACCTGCATGCATCTAATATACAGCCACGCATCCGTTTTTCTCTCAACAAATTTACTTTCAATTTAGACATAACCAGTTGTGTTTATATGTAAACCTTGTGTGTTTTTGACAGTATTAGCGCAATCAGACGCAAAAGATAACTTAGTCCAGTAATCAGGTGCTGTTTGACAGGCTTTTAAGTGTGCGCGCTTCAGGTGTACACACTCAGAAAAAGCGAATGTCAGAACAGCAAAGCAAATGAAATGTTTAACCGGCAAGGCTTAAAAACACACAAATAATGTACATATGTGATTGCGAATAAGTGCAGTGTCCCGTGAGTGTAACTCTACCGCTGAAGTAACATTTGAAGTGAATGTATGTCACGTTGTACAGTATATTGAGACAGAGGCACCAGAACTGCAAATGATAAAATGTGCACTGTAGCGTGATACTACGATATTTCTTCAAAAGCAGATCATGGAGACATTAATCATCCACGATCAAAAATCGTGATATCGCACACCCCTAACTCTGTGTGTCCTACAGGACCTGTTTGAAGGCCATATCGTGTGATGAATCACATGGGTTTGTGTATGAACGTGTTTGTGCAAGAACTTACATCCTGTGGGACCTGAATGAAGGCAAATGTGTATTCTGTAGCCTGTGGAAGAAGCGTACGCGTGCTGAAGGCTGGAGGAAGGGCTGCAAGACGTGTGGAGGATAATATCTCTCTCTGAAATGACAAGAGAGATCGTCACATTGTTGTGTTATAAAAGAGACTGCATACCTCTTTTACACATTGACTGCCTGTACAAGGTCCTCATTAAACGGAGGAGGTGCGAGTACAGCACAGCAGATAAAAGCAAAGTCAAGGATAACGCTTAACTCCTCATGTGTCTTTAGTGCAGAACATGTGAACGCAGCAGGCTAATGAGGCTGGTTAGCACTGAGACACCACAAAGGCTAGTTTCAGCCTTGAGAATAAGAAATACAGGCAGACAGAGAGACTAGAAAAAGGAAAAACAGACAGAAGACAGATGGAAGTACAAAGCAAAAAAATTGGCTTGTTCTACGTGGGGGGTTATACAGCAAATCTTCAGAGGAAGAGAGGCAGGACACACGTCAAGCATACGGTGGACATAGAACTATCTGGACACAATGAGTGAATGCCACTGCATTAAGATAAACCAGGTGACATTTAATCAGTACACCACAAAAAGTGACTCAAAAAAGTAATAAGTTCATTCAGAAATTCATACAGAAATTGTGGCTTAAAATTGTCCAAATGTTGTACTGTATATTAAAGCAGATTCTGTTAAACTGGGGCACAATTGAAGATCTTTTACATTTTGTTCCTACATTGTCAGATGTAATATGAAATCTAAGTTATAACACTTAAACCAAAGACCCCCTCTAAAAAAAGAGGAATTTAAGCCATAAACTTTTGATGGGGCATTAAAATAAAGATCTGTCCCTCAACACAGTGTCCAGTGAATAAGAGTGATATGGAAGGCAATAAACAATGATATCAGATTCAGCACAATGCTCTTGCACCAAGGGTTAAGATATGCAGAACAAAGAGATGTGGGCAAAGAGAATAAAAGAATGAGGTGGAGAGTCTGTGAAAAGAGAAGAAAGAGGAAGGCACAGGGAATACAGAGATGAGAGAAAAGGCCTGTTGTGTTAAAAAATTGTTCTATCACATGACCACCTGCATCTTTTCTCTTGTGCTGACCTGGAGCTTTCCGCCCCGGGCACAAAAAAAAGCAAAGCATGCTGGGTACTGCATCCTTCAAGCTACTTTTAAGCATACTAACATTATTTTCCTTGCAAAAATGCATTTATTGTAGATTTATGGAGAGGAATTGTTTTCCACATGTGTGACTGATGGATTCAGTGCCGGCTTTTGAAAGCACATGCAGTATTTTAAACACAATTCAGAACATTCATCATTCAGCGCCTTTCTAAAGAGACGCTCTACTCAGGAAGTGCTGTGCTACATATCCAGGTTATGCATCAACCTCCCTGCAAGCAGATACTCACATTTCCATAGTCGATGTAGTAAACGTGAACCTTTGCTGGAGATTCAACTTTCTCAATGCGAGCTCTGTACCTATGGAGAGAAAGAGAGACAGAGAGAGAAGAGAGTGTCAATTTCAGTCACTGATCAGAGGAGAAAAGAGTTCAGCAGTTCATCCACAAGCACTGGACAACTTGATGTAGAACGTCTGAACAAGAAAAGTTAGGCTTTGCCACCACATGGCACTTTGGTACCCAAGTTTGTACTGACTTTCAGGCTTCAAACTGCGTTTTCTTCATGGAAATGACTGAAAGGTGCCACACTGGGCACCTGATAAGGTGACCTCCAATTTCACCTAACTAAAAACATTAACTTTTGTAAAGAGCAAAACACTAGTTTAGTGCCCCTAACTATACAGTACAGGTGGATCTTTTATGGGTCAGTGGAGAGAGTTGACCTTGTATTCATAACCTTGCTTTCTGAAAGAGTAAGAAGCCTCTCATATTCATAAAGAGCAGTTCAGAGCTCTGCATGACACCTCAAACACAAGAGAAAAAGTCAAAGAAGAGTTTCTGTTCTCATCTAATCAAACTGAGACATTCCAACCCACTTGAGACCCCTGCCCACTCCAGACCATCTACTTATGCCAAAACACCTCAATCATCCAAAAACCACCGCCTGATCCAGGGACCCCTGCTCTCAAATACGTCTTTCTGCTGGTTCCAGACTGATTTATCTCCTCCCTTCCTGCACAGACTTAATGAGCTCAGAATGACATAGTCCTGATGCATCGTGGGAAAACACGGCCCCCAGAGCCAACTGAGATGCAGAGAAACTGCCTGTTAGCAGCATAAACATGACAACATGGTAAGAAGAAAAAAAAAAACGAGAATCCACTTCTCAGAGGCACTGAACAACAAAGAAAAACTTGTAAGCAATTAAAGGAGAAATTCTAGGATGGCTGCTGGGTGGAGTTCAAATTAGTTTTTAAAAGAGCAAGACGACATCAATGAAAACACCAGCAGATGCTTGAGTAATGAGTCACCCCACTGAGAATGCAGCCTGTTCAGAGTCTATGAGGACAACAGAAGCTTCCAGACTTCCTAAAGGACAAAGAACTCATTGGAGCAGTCCAATGTCCTGCAATCTAGGGCAGATTACTCCAATATAAAACGCAAGTAAACTGAGAAATACCCATAACCAACAGATGGCTCACTATAAAACTATTTCAACAATGAATGAGGTTTAAGCAATCCCTGTAAAGATAGTGTGCCTTTTTGAAAAATGGTGCCTTTTTGCTTTTATTCTTTTTCACCAAAGTGATCTTCCTTAAAATTAAAGACACGCATCAGTTATCAACATCTAATAATATTCCAATATTAGACCTTTTTCCTTTAATTTTTTATTTAATTACATTTTTTAATGCAATTTGGCATTATATAATAATATCTGTGATTTAACTTTTGTCATTTATCTTTCATGCCATCTTATATAATTTACATTGTTATAATGATGCCTAAATGGATTTGTAGCATTTAAAATAACTATTTAATTAACTAAATATTTTAGTTTTTAATATTGGCCATTTATCAGCAATAACAAAAATACAATTATGCCAGAATTTCAATATATCGGTATTATTACTTGAAACATCAAATCACCTGCCCACACTCGCCGAATCAGCAAGATGGCTCATCTTTACCTCTCAAAACTAGACAAGAACATCCTGCAGCTCTGACAAATATTTTAATATATTTATTTAAAACATCTATGGGTGAAACCAAGAAACTCAGCTTTTATAGCAGATGCCATTAAAAGACTTACCATTCTCCGTCACCAAATTTTGCAATGCAGAAATCCCCTCTACGTGGGGTAAAGGATCCTTCTACTGGAGGCTGGGCGGCTATCTCTCCTCGCATGCTCTCCATCAGGCTCTCCAGCTTAGTACCTGCACAGATGAGGATGACAAAAAAGTGAACATCTCCATGCAATCCATCACACTTCCCAGCGAAGTCAGTAAATTTCAGGCTAGTGTTTCTTGATTTGGCTCCATGTTTGGAAAGCGCCAGAATACCAAGCAGAATCCTGATGGTGTGATTACATAATTTATACCAAAACGGGATGATTTGAGAAGGAAGAGATGCATTAACTTGTGACCGGCCTCTGCCAACATCGTTTCTCCAACAATGTAGCCCTGATGGCTCTAGCGAGGAAAAGCATAATATTTTCAGCAAATACTAAATTACTGTAGCGAATCAGCTCATGGAGAAATATGAATAATTAATCATAACTAGTTATAATTAATTATAAATATTTAGATCCGCTGTAGATATTTAGCTGACCTCTCAGGGTCAATTTTAAGAACGTTAATTTCCTGGTTAAGGGAAATAACTTTCTTACTGTACAATTCTACAAAGAGCTTGTAGCATAAATCTGCATGATTAAGTGACTCCAGTTATGAGCAAACAATGAACAACGTCAAGTGTGATACAAGTAAGACTTTATTAACTACATAAACACTTAAACTGGTCTAACATACTCCATAAACACTTAAACTGGTCTAACATAC